TGTGTGTGTGTGTGTGTGTGTGTGTTTGCTCAGCAGGTAATGATGATTAATCGTTTGCACGTCAGATTCAAAGCTTGTTTTGATGCTCATTTATAAATGTGTGTTGAATGAAGCCCCTATCATTTCAAAGCGAGCAGACACCAGCACTGGCACCCAGGTCAACTTTCCTTGTCCTGACAAACAGGCGCTGGCACCACAAGAGTTTCCAGTGAACCCTCTTTGCCACAGGGGTCAGCTTTCACACACCAGTCAGTACTCGAGAATATTTTTCCTCTAAAATCTCGGGGAGTCGGTTGAAAAGGGGAAATGACACACGGCAGCCTGCCCTGCTGAGGTTCGTCGTCTATACGCTGCTGTTTGCTAATGTGACTGAAGGGAAGTGAAGATAAGAATAGAGTGGAGCAGAGCCCGGGCTTCATTAATGTGCCAGGGCGGTAAAACAGTCAGAGCCGTGGCAGAGCTGTGCCAGATGAGGCCTGGCTTCATGTCTGCCAGCTGAGAAGAGCGACTGCGGTCATAATTCCCTTACAGCAGGTGTTCACTATGGTAACTGAATCTGGCCCGCAGAAGGTTAATGGGCTTGTGGTGTGTGGAAGAACAGGGTCACAGCACCTCTGACAAGCATGCAAAGGACGTTCCGCTCCCAGAGTGCCGCCATTACTGACAGTATAATAATGTGGAAAAGCAATATTTGGGCACGTCACATTATATGTACATCATACCATAGGCTTTGTGCTCGCCTCAATTTCATAATAGTTTCTATCACTGCGGCGACGCCTGTCTAGGTCTGTTCTCCCCGGTGCAGCAACAGACCTCTGGAGGACTTCATACCTCAGAGCTGATTCTACATCCCCCCTGCTTAAAATTTACATATGTACGTTAAGATTTCAAATTTGCACGCACAAGGACAAACTGCTGGGAGTTTGTAACAATAGGAAATAATAGCAGGGAATGAGACAGGAACTATACAGGAAGATGGGCACAATTTTAAAGATAGAAAAGATTTAAAAAATCAACAACTCCTAATATTTAAAACTATTGGCAATTTTAACACTCTATTCATTTTTTTTTTTTTTTGAGACAAAATGCAATTCTGTTGTGCAGCTATGATCCCCATTCTTACCTCTGGTTACAAAGCTGACAGGCAAAACAGTCCAAATGGTAAACATTATCTCTGGCTCTCATCACCATTTCAAAGGCTGGGATCAGTTTACTGCAGGCTGCACAGTTCCCCGTTGTACCAAAGAGCCTGAAAGACAGAGAGCACAGGCAGAGATTAACCCACCTTCCCTTTACCTTGATGCAATAAAAGAGCAAACAAAAACGTACTGACAGCAGGAACAATGAGGGGGAAAAAAATGCCGCAGCGGAAGGGGAAGCAGAAACAACAGCAAACGCAATGCACAAATCTTTCTTTGGCACCCACATGGTATTTTTGTTAATGAGAGTTACAAACATAGATCTTAATTCTCGACTAATGATCTAATTAAAATGATCACATGGTCTTAATCTCCTTCTTCAAAGAATTCCCCCCCTGCACATTGCGAGAGCAGGGAAAACAGGTCTGAGGCGAAGCATTTGAGCTGCTGACAGTTTAAATTTTTTTTTTAAAAACACCCTAATGAGTCGACTTTATCTCCAACCGAAGTCGGCTGGATTTTGACAGAAGAGGCCGTGTTCTGTAACGTCGTCACAATTTCAAAAAGATTTCTGTTAGAGGGCTTCAGCCTCTATCCCTCCTTCTCCATCGTTCAGTCAGAAAGGAGACAATGGCGTGAGATGTAACCTTGAAGAGTTAACTAAATGTTTGACGCTGAGCAGAATCCACCGCTCAAACCTCACAGCTGCTTGTTTAGGCTTATTAGATGAGAGCCGAATGATAAAGGTCACACATGGAGCAAAGAGGCACTGGCGTAGATCTCCTCAAAGCAGAGGAACCTCAAACTCCTTTTCCCGCTCAGATTTACATTTTCATTTTCCAAGCGCCTGCCCCTCTGTTTAATTTGAAGATTCCGGAGCACAGATAGATTTATATGTTCCGTGGCAGGAAAAGGACCTTTTTCATAGCTTCGCAAGAGGGGATAAGGCAACAGCAGCTTCCTTTCCAACAGCGTGTTAAACATTCTTCCCCAAACTTGTAGGGCTCAGACAGGGGAGTCACCGTGTTGATATTCTGCCTCGTTTAAGCTGGTCCCATTCAGTTGCTTTCACCTTGTTAAAGAAAACGTCTATCCAGCAGCCCTGCTTCTAATTAGAGGCCACTGCCCCAGAGGAGTAGCAGAGACAGAAACAGGGGGAGAAAGGCTGTTATGTTCCATGAGAGGGATTCACAGGGTGTTAAACACAGACATTGTTATAACTGGTAACTGTTTCAGGAAAAAAAAAACAACTGGATTTTCTCACACAGTAGACATCTGCCACCCACAGAGTACACTGTTACACAAGGAAGTTTTTTTTTCCATAGAGAGACACTTAAAAAGAAAGCTTTCCTCATCAAAAAATTCTCACGCAGTCAGTATTGATCCAAAAATGGACCAAATATCAGCGCTTCAGAAACTGACCTTATTATTCAAATCTAACACTTATATTATATTAGGGCTGATTATTGCAAACTTTTACCTGGATTATGATTAATGAATGAATATTTTATGCCTCCCCACCCGATCGTGATATGACGCGCACACACCCACACACATGCATGAGGAGCATTACTCAGTGCTGGACAACAAGTGAATTTGCCCTTCTGCTCTTTTCACTCACATGTAGAACTGGTCTTCATAAAAAGATCATATTTATGTGTTCCTGGATTAACGTGGCATGAGTGTGTGTGTGTGTGTTCATCTCCGCAACTAAATTAAATTCACACATTTATTTAGTTATTAACGATGATGTTGGATCATGAATCTGGATCGTTCTGGTCACTTTTACTCTGATGTCCTGATTGTGCACATCATGTTAGGTCTCATGTTGTGTGTAGCAGGTGAACTACGTGTACACAAAATGTGAATATGAAAATACGAGTTTTATAAACTTAATTAAACACAACACAAAGTAAACTTCAAGTCCTGTACATGTCCTAATAACTTGATTAGTGCTGGTGTTTATTGTTAACATGTAAAGTGAGCGCAGATCAGCGGGGGAGTGAGGAGGGGAGGACACATTGAACCCAACAGTTGGTGAATGCACGCATTAGGGAAAGTATTGACCGAATTAAATGCAATTAAGTTGGTTAGAGGTTATAAAAATGCTTTCAATACATTTTTGTATTATTTATACAGATTTGTGAACAAAACACAGATTTTGCAGGAAGCATGTCCTGATTTCTTGAAAATACAATATTTGAAATAAAGGTTCATTTGTTCCTGTCATTTACTGTTCACCACCACACAGTAGCTTCCTGTTAGATATAACCTCGCAGCCTCACACCTCATGTGTCATCATGACAGTCGAGTGGCAGGGACTGCTCCAGGTTTCAACACACCTGAGCTCTGCTGTTCTAAGGGTCACACAGAGATGACTGTTTCTCTTCCTCAGGGAGCCGAGGCTTTAAATCAGCCTGTAGAGCCCTGGTCACTCACAGCAGAGAGTGACATGCACAAACCTATAACAGCTTGTCGGAGTATTTTAACGCATCTCCATTACACCCCGCCGGGCTGTGGACATGGTGCTTGACTTGATGCAGGTTGTGAAAACGCCTGGTGAGGGAGCCCAGCTTGCTGCCGACACTATGTTGGACGTTTGCTCAAGAAGGTGTGACATTTTTTTTAAATCTCTAGTCTACGTTCTCTAGAAACCAGTAATCCAAGTAGTGTTGGTATAACCTCCCACTGCTTTATTATGACACAAAGATTTCTACTGAGCATCTCACATCTGCAGAGCTGTTACATTTTTGTGTATGATTTCATATTTGATATAGGTAGGCAGAATTTAAACTTTAATAGCCAGAGTGGAAATACAGACCATCAGATTTTATTTTATTTAAACCTGCAAATAAAGCAATTCATTTCCTACATTAAATTTCTAGATTACTTTTTGAAACAAAGATATATGTTAAAGAAGCGTGATACAGTAATTAAAACTAGAAATAGCACTCATACAAAATGAAATACCTCTGCAGAAGCCCAACTGTCCATTCATGACAGCATATTTAAAAGATCCAGATTTTATTTGGATCTGCACCAAATAGCACACACTCATAAATATCAGTCTTTTGAACACGCCAGTTTTTTTTTCATCAATATCCATGACTTATTCTCCAAGAAATCAAAGAAATTTTGAGAAACGCCCTGTGTCGGAAAATGGTTGAGTAGTTTTTGTGTCATCCTACTAACTGACTAACAAAGAAACAGACGGAAATATAACCTCCTTGGTGGAAGTAATTTATTTTATTCATTTTACGAGACATGTTGAGAACTACTTCGCAAAATTACTCAGCATGTGTCTGCTCTGACTCATCTTTGTCATGTATAAGGAAAAGGTTTTTACCATTTTTAGATACGTTATAGTACTTTTCAAGTGGGCTACGTTAACAATTGACAAAAGTATTCTGCTGATAGCACAGAAAGGTAATGCAAATTCTGCATATGGAATTTGAACTCACTTGTTAACCGACACCGGCTCTTTTAAATCATCCTTATAGTCTTAAAACATGAAACAATGCCTCTAGAACAAACATAAAGAGCATAAAGAGTTTAAATGTTAGCACATTGAATATGGCTTTGTTACACTCGCACAGTTCTTCAGCCGTCACTTGATGGGTCTGGGCTATAACGTGGCATCAACACATGGCTTAATTGAGCTCCTTGTGCTAAGAGGAGATTAGAGTTTGAGAGAACTGTTAAAAGACATCAGCATCTTCTCTTCCTGCTCCTGTGAAGCTATAATGCAACCAGAGTTGAGCCACTGTATTGCAGCGGCATCACGACGCCGCATTTAGTAAACAAGGACTGTTTCACACCGAAACATGATCGAGAGTTAGAGTGATTCGACTTTAGCTGAGAGAATGCAACATGTTAGCACAAAGATGGCAACGTGAGCAACACAAAGTGAAAAAGATTTGGCTCATTTATTCGTTTGTTTAAGGATTGGAAATCAATCAAATTATTTAATTTATGAAAGTGGAGCAGGAGTCAGCACATATGATTCATTACAGACAAGTGTGGACTCTGATCAGAAAATGACAATAAATAGAGCAACTGCCATCTATAATAATACTAATAATATAAACTTTATTTATATAAGTCACTATATAGATCTGAATAACATTAAACTGTGTTTAGCTGAAGAATCACAACGATTCTATAAGAAACTATACACAGTATCTACAGTGATGTTCATTATACATTATTATACGCACAAGAGAACTATACGTTAATGGAGTTGCTTGAGTCAGTTTTTTAGACTTGACGTGCTTCACAGCTCTGAAACACTGCCTGCGACGCACATAAGTTGTGGATTACCTTTGAACACATTCATTCATTTCACTTACAATAGATTTTTTTTAGAGTGAATAGACTCGTTTCAGCAGAATTCCCACGTATTGTTCTGACACATGTCCAGTATTGTAGATGTGCGGTGGCTCATGCACTTCAATTTCCCTGGTCATTTGGATTAAATAAATCAATATTCTCAAAAGGGAAAGTGGAAAAGCACTAACAGTTTTTTTTCCCCGGCATTTCTATTTAAATGGAGTTTGAATGGCGAGTCGGTGGAAAATATAGTATTCTTCATAGCTGCAGTCCATCAGGTTTTTGTAAATCAATCCTCAGTATTGTGGCGAGATTTGAAGCACAGAAAGTCTGCTGTGGATTGAATGGGATGATGCTGAATGAGTATTTACCCACTCAGAACTGCAACTATTATAGTAGTTTATCGTAGTGGTATGATAAAACACGTATGTCATAATTTTCCCATTGTGAAATCTTATGTTTTGTTTAATCCAACCAACACTGCGGAATATTCATCACATTAAAGCGTCAAATAAAATCAAGGAATATTTAGATTTTAATTTAAAGTTGATAGAAATAGTGATAAAACTGACCATCTTTTTCAGCATTGAGAGTTTGCAGTAGTCTCTATCCATCCATGCTGCGTACTGCTTTATCCTGTGTGCGTAGCGGACATTGGGCGAGAGCTGGGGTTCACCCTTGGCTACCAATGGTCTGCTGCTTTAAATGTTTATGGATTGCATTTTTAATTTGTATTCATGAACTTGCTGACCTCCGGTGATCAATCATTCATACCTGTGTCTCAAATTATTGGTTTAGGCAAATGAATCAATATTTGTCGTAATTGTATTTGAGTTTATCTAATTATCTAGATATATTTTTGCTTTCAGGTCAGCTTAATTCCAAGTATAAATCAATCGTTTTTTTCACTGGGTCAGGCCAGTGTGAAAATGTTCAAACATATGAAACCAAACACTGGACTGGAACAACAAATTACAGTTGTTGTCTGGCTTGACTGAGTGGAACATAATGACACTGAGAATGAGTGGATGTGGCTGTAATTTACCTCTAAGCTGTTTTACCAACCACTAATAATCACTAAATAAGAAGAAGAAGAACAGTGATGCGGCGCCACAATTGCCAGGACAACGCAGTTGAATCTTACAAAAAACTACTTTGGTAGGTTTCAAATCCAAAATGTTGCCATAAAGTCGTTTCCCTGTGAGTCACCCACATTTGATGGCTACTAACTAATCATACTGTTGCATTAACCACATTGTCACGTTCTTTATTACTGATGCGGTGCAAGTTATATTTAGCGCAGTGATGCTGGATAGCTGATTGGCTATTTTTGAATTTGCAAAACCTTATGAAGGCAAACACCAGTTCAACCAGTTCAACCAGTTCACATCAGTTTCGGCTTCCACACTGGACCGAATAGGCAAAACCAATAATCTCAACAATTTTTAGTAGCTCATTATAAATTCTATAAATAATATTTATGCCTAATCCCTGCTTCCTGCAGTCTGCAACACATTACTATGTGCTCCTCAAAAGGGCTCTTATTTAGATGCTATTTAACTTTGTGGCAACACGAGTGAACTGTGTGTGCTGATGTGGGTTTCTGGGAGCGGAGTTGGACATAAAGAAGCTCAGCTCTCCTTCCTCCGTCAGTGAGTTATTACAATGAGTCTTTAGAGAAAAGAGGGCCTTCTTTAGTTCTTTCAACTGGCTGCTTTGCTAACTTCAAACCCTTAAAGCTCCTTCAGTGCATCATCTGCCGCTCTGTGTTGCTTCCCTCAGATTGCGCCGTTGCGCTCTTGAAGTTTTCTACCTGTTCTCTGAGCTCTTTGAGACGTCCCCGCCTGCACAGGGTTTGTCAGATTTCATAAAATGGAAAACTGTTAATGCATGCATCGCGTGTTATGACCTTCTCCAACAGTTGTGTCTTTTTGAAAGTGTAAACCTCTCTGTTCAGATCTATCTTGCCCAGAGAACTGTTACCGGAGGAGAGCGGTTGTTTAAAAAGGACTGATTTGAAAAACGGTCACATCCAGATGGAGCTATCATCTTCCCCCTGTTATTTCACTCATTTGTGGATAACTTATAATCTTCATTATCTTTAAGACAGTTTCCTCTTGCAGTTAATTATACCCCATTTTGATAAGTAGACGACAATTATGTCCTCTCTAATATATGAAATAGAAGATTAAATGATTTCAGCCTTCAAGTCCTGATGATCACACCATGACGAGATTGCCAGCCCTCTGGTGTTGTATGATCCTGGGCCTTTGACATAAAGGAAATGCGTAATTAATCTATTATTCTACTTTGTAATGAAAGAGTGTGGCCAAGTTACAAAAAAAAAAAAGTGTCTCTTGATACAGTGAACTGAACGTCAGAGAAATCAGACACTGAACCTTTTGTTGGTGCAATGCTTTAAAGGGCAGGGGAGGACACTGGCTGAGGTGTGTGCGCATTTTAGTGCTTGTGTGTGTTGAAGTGTAGGATTCAGGAAAGCGTGAGTGCATTCAATAAGTTGCTAATGCCACTGAAGGACAATCACAGATGGAGCTGCTATAATAATTAATATGAGCATGGCAGGGTTCCAAACCCTGGGAAATAACCAAAGTGTGTTTGATCCGCCCGCTTTTCTTTAATGAAGTGCACGAGGCTAATTCAGTGCACAGATTTAACTTCATTACTGCAGGTGAGTGGAGCCTTCTTCTTGCTCCATAGAAAATAAAGGAAGGAATGAAAAGGGAAGTGGCACCGGACAGAGACTGCATCGCCTATACTTCTCTGTTTCTCTCAAACTGCCTCTTCTCTATTCACACGGCAAGGTTTTTTAATTTGTTCCATAATAGAATTCATCTCAAGCATCTTTCGCCATTAAGTGTTCTGCATTTGTCGCAGGCTGAAGAGCAGGCGAGGGGGATGGATTTCATCAAGAGATCCAGGGCGACATAGGAGCACGGAAAGCTCTCTTCTCCTCTCCCCTTTTTATTCTTATTTTAGTATTCTTAACTTTTGATTTCTTGTATCATTCTACTTTTATGATCCCTTGTCTGACCTCTATATCTTACCGCTCTAATAATGTGCAAGTTTTTCTTCCTCCCTTCACTCTGCTATGACTTGGGGTTTGGGGTTGCTGTCCTTTCAGCGAATATATTTTACCAAGTGAAAGTCTGAGCTTCATCATTTTTGCCTCCGCTTGGTCATTTGCCCATTTATTATTACCTCATCCGCACCATCTGCCCCTTCTGAGGGCAACATCAGGTCTTAGTGGACCTCTCACTGCATCTTAAAAGCATTAATGGTGGGTGGGAGCTGATGAATGGTAATGGCCTATCTCAAGGTAACATCCCTAAGCACCTCTCAAGTGGGCTGGGGGCTTCTTCTAGGTCACAGGAAGAGCAGCTGTGAAAGTTAAATGTCATGGAGATCCACGAGTGAGGATGGATGAAAACCAAGTAGATCATGGCTGCAACTTTACTTCTACGTTTTTGTTCAACTAAAATGATCTCGGTGTACAAAGGTGTTTTGGCTCTATATCAGTTTTAATGCCATATCTATTCTAACACAACTGAAAACGCATATCACATGACTACTTGTATACACTGGGCATGCATGTGCCAGTGTACTCAGGTAGCAGATAATAGCTGGTTTCCTATGTACGTAAGCAGTTGTAGCATTTTTTTCCCAGGTCATGTGATATGAGCCTGACCAATCAGTGAAGACTACGTCGTGATTGAAATGACTCGATCAGAAAGTGGTTGTGAGAGTCTACGAGAGTCTACCAAAGTTGAGCTGAGGATATCAGTGAGGGAGCTGAGAGACAAGAAGACAGGAGGGGAATGGAGAAAGTGAAAGGGGGAGGACAGGGGATTGGCAGGGAGGGGCTTATAGGGCACTGGCATCCCTAAGTCGACCCCAGGGGGATTCCCTCTCAGATAAATGGTAAGACCTCAATGGGAATGTGACTTAAAGCCCAAGAAATGGTCATGTTTAATTTAACAAGCAGATGGCAGGGGCATCTGACAGGGAGGGGGGCAGAGACACTGGTGAAGCAACAAGCCTGCCTGGAGGTGTCTCACAGCAAACAGCTCTGGCACAACTGAGAGCCTGTCTCCTGCATGACACAAGCCCCCTGTCCTCATGTAAACACATAAAGAGATGAAAATATAAACTGTGCAAACAAACATGTGGTTTGAACGGTCACACGTGCTGCCAATATATGTATATTCCTGTAAAGTATGACAAATGTACCAACCACGAAAAAGAAAAAGACATAACAGAGTAGAAATATTCCACTGACATAGTGGTGCATGTAACATCCAGAGAGCTTTTAATAAGAAGAATCAATTATGGTGGTGGGAGCAGTGAGACTGTGTTTCTAATACATTGCACAACACTTATTACATTTGAATACTATTACATTTTATGCCTATTCTTTGTAACTGCTGTTGAGGAGGTAAAATGATAATTACCTCCACCAAGGAGGTCATGTTTTAATCAGTTTTGATTTGTCTGTTAATAATTAGGATTATGAAGAAATTACTAAACCAATTTCCATGAAACATAAGGATGTGGTATGGGTCAGAGAAGAGCCCCAAAGATTTTGGTGCAGGTACGGATCAGGGGGCAGATACATTGTGACATTGGGCATTTTTCAACATGTTGACTGATTTCTCAGAGAATAATTAGTTTTAATTAATACGATAAAACTTATATGGACAGTTGGTAGAAAACAATCAAAAGTTTTGTGCACGTGGACAGTTAAACCCAGAGCTGGATTATGTACTTTATGAAAATAACAGATTATAAGGACAACTAAATGTTTGTACTGTGGCTGTAGTGATCAGGAAATGCCAAGCCATGATGATTTGACGGCTGCACTGGATTTATAAATACATCAATTATACAGTATTTGTTGTTAAAAAAGGAGATGTGCTTTTTTTCCGTCGTGCAAAATGAGTCAAATCATCTTCAAACGACATTATCGTCTGCTGTATGCACGTTATAAAAGAACATGAGAGAACTACATTGCAGGTTTTACATTGCAACACGGAGGATTATCTGCATAATTTGAACTGACGTAGATTTCTGTCTTTGTGAGTCACACACCACTAGAAGGATAAAACAAACAAAAAATAGTTTGATGTCACAGCTCTTGGATTGGCATGGCTCTTGTGTTTGTTGTGAGTGGAGAAAGGTGTGTGTGTGTGTGTGTGTGTGTGTGTGTGTGTGTCTTTCTTGCCTCAGGTAGTCCCTGCGACAGAGGATGAGGTTGGCTTTCGTATAGAGGGTGGAGCCCACCTCCCCCAGGCGGCAGTCACAGCAGGCACATTTGAGACAGTCCTCGTGCCAGTATTTGTCCAGGGCCTTGAGCAGGTAGCGGTCTTTAATCTTGCGATTGCAGCCAGCACACCCCTTCTGTTTCCCTTTGGGCTGGACGGAGAGCATCGGCACACCTGTAGTGATAAGGAGACAAACAGCCATGCGTGATTTACGGCCCGGGAACACGAGTGACTTTTCATGTTCTCTTTTTGATAAGCCGGCTGCTTCTCGAGGCGTCTAAGCCTGGCCTTGCGCGTGGCCACAGCACACTGCCTACCTGCTTCATATGCATTAAAGAAAACATTCTTCCATGTAGATAGGCACACAGGTCACATTGGTCTACAAAGCCCTGACTTCCTTGTTCCACTAAGAACATGGTGTTACAAGAACAAGTTACATGATCGCTTACAGCAGGCGGCAGAGGAAGGGGCATGAAAGACACAAAGCTTATTTTGCTTCCTGTAGTATTGACAGCGAGCTGTGTTGTACGTTAGTTACCTACCATTTCATCAGAGCCCATTTCACTCAACTGTCCACAGCTGTAAAAGCTCCTCATGGGCTTTGTTTGGTATAGATTAACATTAACCTTTTAAAAAGCCTCTGACCACAAAAACGTTGCTACCAGACCCCAGTGAGATATGTTATGGCCTAAGTGCCTTTTAGCATACACTCACTCGCTGTGTTTCATACACACACACACACACACACACACACACACACACACACACACACACACACACACATGTGCGGACACTAACCACAAACGCACACACAAAGTGTTCCCTGCTCAGAGCATTACAGCCTTTCCTCCTTTTACACTTATCTGTACTCATGTGTCTGCAACGAGCGAGCCTAAGTTACCAAACTCACAAATTGCCCTGCTGTCACGCAGGTCCCCTTTAAGTGTGCCTTTTAGCCTCCTAAAGGACAAATAAAGTCCATTTAATAACTGCACTAAACACTAATAGTCTATGTGTGGTTGACATTTGTGTTTGGACTAAAAGCCCCCCTCAGGCCACTGCTGGTACAGAGGCAGGGGTGCGCAGCTCCCCTCTGTAGCACTAACAGGTCTGCCACAGCTGAAAGCACAAGACAACAGCTCTTAAGACACTCTCTCACACACTGAGCTATTGATCCGTCTAAAAGAACACACAGTGGACGCCACTTGCCACTCTACTTTCAAAACACATTTCTCTGTCTCTCAAAAAAAAAGACTGGACACTGCATCATAGGGGGTTAGGCCATGGTTTTGTATGTGTGGTGTAGAAATAAAGGCCCATTTGAAACATGCCTTACACCGAGTTAAACATGAAATGTCACTGTTTGACTGTTGCACTTCACAGATGTGCACAGGAACATTTTGTCCAGACCAGAGCGGGTTTTTATTTTCATTTCTTCAGCAGTATTTGCGACAGCGTGACGATAAGTGTGAATGGGCTCATTCTGTAGTTAGATCTGCTGTTTGACTGTAACTTCTGTGGTTTGCTCAGTGATAAACACAACCTCAGCTGATAACAAGGGACCGCTTCACTCTGTGCACTGTTTTTGTCGGCTTAGCCTGTCAAGTTTGTTCTCTTTCACAAAAACCTTACACCACTTTTCAAAAGGCTTCCTTGGAATAGAATCGAATATTTTCTGTCTCTCTCTCTCTTGCATGAGCACACACACGTAAATGGACTCACAAAGTACCTTATTGGATCCAGATTTGCTCTGCAATTTTTGGCCATCCACACATCAATAATTCTATGAATGTAATATAATTAGCATTTCCCCTTTAACAAAAAACAAAGAGGTGAAAGAAATAGGAGAGCTTGTTAGTCAAATTTATGGCTTTGGTTTATATGTCAGTAAGTTCTCCGGTGGTGTTGAGTCGTCTTATTTCTTTATCAGAAGTGGAAAGGAGAGGCTAATTGGTCCGGTGCCGGTGATGGGAGCCATCAATTAGTGTTCTGCCTGCCCTCCAGCTCCCTCACCTCCCTCCCCCCTCAAAACAGGCCCCTTGAAGCTGGCGCATTAGGATCACAAAACCTGCTATAAATACCAATGTTCAGTGTAAATGAAGCTAAAAAGCTTCAAATTCAAGCCACACTGGATAAGGGCGGACTCCTCTACCTGCATTTCATGGCTTGTTAGGGGAGCTCTCTGCAGGTATGCCAACAGTGCTCGCCTGACAGGTTTCTACAGAACTAAAAACAGTCTTAATGAGGAGAGGGAAAATGCCTGCGTGTGTGTACACGTGTGTGAGTGTGTGTGTGCCTCGGTACTTGCGCAAAGAAGAAGAAAGGAGTTTCTGCAAATTCCTTTGGGGATCACAAAAATCTTTAATTTGCCTTTTATGACACCTAATTAGTTATTCTACTCAAAATCTTTGCTTTAAATAAGAGAACTAATTATACAAAAAGGTCGTTCCTCCACCTCCAGAGAACTACTCCTAATTGGTTGAGACCACCACCTGCCACACACTCCTTAAACATATCACGTGTGTGTGTGTTTTACATCATGTTTGAGAAGGCCAAAGCCTAACCCTATCCTGGGATTATTTTCCGCTGCCCACCCCCTCTGTTGGATGCACACTTTGGTTAAAAACCATGTTCAGCATCATCAAAGTGACTCCTCCGTATATATATTAGTCCTCATGCACATAGGTCCTGGTCCTCCAGGCCAGACTGTAAGAGAGATGTCTTAATGAAGGAATGCTGAATGTCTGCCTGAGAACCAGTGCAAGCTTTTAAATGCTGCCTCTCCCTTGAAGCCATTGCAGGGAACAAACATGGGTTTGATGTCTTCTACCAAAGCAGCCTGTGGAAAACAGCTTTAATAGTAGTGTAGCAAGCAGCAGCTCAAGTTCTACTAAACAAAGAGCAGTGACAGAAAGAAATGAGTGTGTAAACTAAAATGTCTTTTCAATTCCCTTAATGCCACGAGACATTTTCTTGCACCTGTCACCACTCTCCCGGCGCTCTGGGAAACCGCGGTGTAGAACAGAGCCTCCCATGCTCGCCACGTCCCCAAAAAGAGAAGCTGCATTATGAAAGGAAGCAGCAGCCTCCACTTAATCCAATCCATTTAACAGATACAAGTGCCACTGACCTTCCACTGTCATTTGATGTCATCAAAAGTATGCCTCTCCACATCACGATTCATTCTCCAACAAGGGATGCATTTTACCCCTCAAAGTGGAGAGACAGCACTTGCCCTGCCAAATATCCTTCCTGAGAGGGAATTTAATTTGCCATTAGCACTGTGTGCAAAGGCCTGTCATCTCTCTTTTCTCCCATCCATCTACTTTCTTTAAGATTGTATCTTTCAAGAATATGTACAGTTAGTTTTTCTCAGCTCATGCAGTCTGTCAGAGCATGTATTTTCCATTATAGAGATAGCATCCGAATTCCATGTTACTCCATTTAGACTTCCGTTTTACAGCTATCAAAAGAATCGCACCAGTCTGCTAACCTTTTTTGATATATTTGAGGTTTTAAAAGAAAATACGCTGTTGGTAGCAGTCAAGGGGATGTTTGCAAGTAGGAAAATACAATTATCACGTTTGCTCAGACACGAGTGTGTGAAAAGAAAGATTTGCCCCAAACCCCATTTTCAATCATTATCGCTAAAATCTTTGATTAACAAATAGGTGCTTGAATATAATACAGCATTACAGCAATATTTACAGGTTTCATATGAATCCTGACACCATCATAAACCATGATGAGTCATTTCATGCAGACTAAAATTTTTAAAAAATGTGTTGTTGCAATCAACTACAAGTGCAAAACCAGGGAATATTAATAATCAGATTGCTTTCTCAATTCTACACTATATACATTTCTATTTCTGCTCTCTCTTCTTATTCATAGTTTTATTCAGGGACTAAAGGGATACAATATATACCTCCTGTATATTCCCCACACCCAAATTTCATCTAGATCTCCTTAGATTATTTGTTTTATCCAACCAACATTGCACAACGCAGATATATTCAGTTTACTGTTATATGTGACAAAGATAAGCTTCAAATTCTGATTACTGAGAAGGTGGAACCAGCAAATCTTTGAAATTTTGGTGAAACTGACAAAATGATTGATACACTTTCCAATATTTTTCTCCCGATTGACAAATTAACGTTTTTTTTGTTTTTGAACTACTTGAACCCAGAGTTATTTTTAGAAGTGTAAAGTTTAATAGTGACCGATTAATTGATTCATCAGTTCAGTTCTAGCTTCGTGTTCCAACAACAGAATGAAGTAAATGTACATTAAAGATTTCTGTCCTTCACTTCATGACGACACACATGGTCTCAGTGGAGCAGCTGCTCTCACAGGCACTCAGCCTTAATTGCAGAAGTGACAGTTACATCTGATTCTGTGTCCTGTTAAATGTCTTTTGATCAATTAAAAGCACTGGTGCCATGCGGTGTGAGGCAGACATTGCTGGTTCATGGGGAGGTAAAGAATCTGGATGAGAGTCACTTGTGTCTTCCTGCCATATGGGGGGGAGGGAGGTGGGCTTCACTAGGAGGTGGAAGCTGGCCCTGGGTGGGCCTCCTCTTGGGGGCCCCTATAATTCCAGCTCCCAGCTGCTACAAATAAGAGAGTGTCAGCACACACAGAGATACTACATCACCAAATGATTGTGTTAAGCTGGAACAAGTGCATATGTAATCATGACCATGACCACCATCATTATCTCTAGTCAAAGCAGCCTTACACATGACATCAACCAGATATTAATGATCTACGAGGAATCTACAAACTGCTGCATGATGTTACCAAAATCATATATTATATTATATATATATATATTTTTAAAATGGAAATGTAGTATTAAATTATATCAAATATAAAATTACAGTGTTGGTAGTGATTAACACAAACTCTCAGTGAGTCTCCAGTTTAAGCAGGAGCTGATTTTAACATCATGTTTCTTTTATGTTTTGGCCTCCACTGTCAATGCTGTGGCCATGGCGATCCCAAATAAAGTTTGTCCCCAGTCCAGGGTGTCTGCCACCAGGGTTAATGGGGATCTCATGCAGATGTCTTGCCATTGTGTGCATGAATCAGCCCCTTTCATTCAGCTTCCGTCACTGCTGTAATTGAGCCCATAGACACGTTTCGCTATTGCCAAGACAAAATACAAG